CACAAAACAGGAGTTGATAAATTTTACCTAGGTCCACATATTGTAAAAAGCTTAATTTTAGAATTGGAAGCAAGCATGACTTGCTGGGAATGGGTATCAGGGTTCCAGCTGGCCCTCACTCGCTTGTACAACCTTCCTTTGTACACTTAAATCCATGGACAAGCATACACATACTTTGGGAAGCTGCTCAATTTTATGTTCAGTGCACCCATGATCCAAAAATAAACATGCACTAATGATCTCCTAGAAAATTTTCAAAATATGGGTACTCCCATTCCTGTTTTTGAAGACTCACATTACTTCACTTTTCTTGAGTGATTTTGTTTTAGCTAACAATCTCAGAAATTTTTGCTTTCACAGGGGGTTGGGTGTCGTCAAACTAGTGTCCAGTGCTTGTTTCACAGCAAGCCATTAAGTAGTGCGCACCTAGAGCAATAAAAGTGGTGTTGCCCCACTCCTTCCCTGGGACCATCATAAATGGGTGCTCAAGAAGTTTGTGGAAAACGCCCATCATGTTCCTACAATACCTTGAAGCTCCCTGGTACATTTTTTTCTACTAAATACATGCTCTGTATTTATTGTACAATTCCTGTCTTTACTATGTTATCTTGTTTTATTTGTTGGCGAGTGTAGGGTCCTCAAGTGATTAAAAAACAAACCCAAATGGTGATTACTTCTTCACATTATACCATTTTGGCTGACAGGTTTCACAGAAACCCTTGGGGATAGCAGGGGAACCTGTAATGATATTGCCTTCTGGTAGGCAGACCTCTAAGGCGGCTCCCAAGATTTCCTGTATGATCCTCTTACATAAAGATGGTGGTGGTGTCTATGAAGATGGATGTTGTTCCTATGATTAGGTCAGAGGCTTCAGCAAAGATCAAAGGATTTTGCAGGTATAACGAAGATTCTTAATCACTTTGGGCTTAAGTTAATCAAAAAAGGAATTATTTAATCAAAAGAGGAATTATTCTAATTCCTTACAGAAAAAGCAGCAGCATAGGTGGTATCAGAGGGTTAGAATATGTCCACATGGAAATTACAGAATTCATAATTGGGCCTAACCCAATCAGGAGAGCCTTTTAAAATGAGGTTTTGAAAAAGCAAGTTGAGTGCGCAGGACAGACCTTGCACACCTCAGGTTAGACTGAAACTCCTGACACCTTGGTTGCAACCTTGTGAGACAGTGAGCAGAGGACATGGCTATGTTATACCCAGACTCTGCCCCACAGTAAACTCACGTTAACTAGAGAATCCAAAAGAGGGTGTCACAAAAATTACCCTGTTACAAAACGCCGTAACTATGAATTGTAGTTACTGTAGCTAACCCAGAACCTAAATGGGAAAAATTTTTTTCAGATGTATTTTTAATGACTGTAAGATGGATCAAAGAATGCTCTAGGTTTGGTCCAGAGCACTGTGGAAAGTTTAACTATCCACCATGGCACACAAATACTGGAATCTTTAAAAATTAGAAAGGAATTATCTTTGAAGAGGTTTGAGACTAGGCCTATTTACATACCACTAATATTGCATTCTTACTTTACAATACTTGAAAATAGCTTAATGTTCCAAATAATTTAAGACATTAAAAATCAAGAACATTTAGGTTTGGCTTATTAGTCTTAACTCATCAGGAAAAAAAATCTATCTTCTAGATTAGAGAATAAATAGGTGCTTAGATTAGTTAACTGTGAGTGGTTGAAATAAATTTCACATATAGAAAAGCCCTTCTAAATATTCTATTATGAAATCAATGTCCTCTATGAAACCATAGGTAAAAATAGTTCATTTGGTAGCCCTTGTACTTAGATGTTAATATTGCTATAATTATAAAGATAACTAACCCAGTAAATACTTTGGCCTATTCTAAGCTCACTGGCTTATTTTCCACCAGATTTTTATTAAAACAAAAACAAACCAAAAGTACCACTCCCCCCCCACCTCTCCCCCAAACAACAACAAAACAAAATAACCCCAAACCACGAATTAAGTTCATTGTTATGTCTATCTTTTGGTAACTTAAGCCATCTGTGAAAATGACATTTTTGTAATGCAATCATTTGGAGACACATGTTGAAGTTACACAACTGCGTTTGATCTCCGTCCGTTTTGCTGGAAGAGGGAAAGGAGGGCAAAACCTTGGTTTGGACAGGGAGAAAGCAGCAGCATAGGTGGGATCAGAGGGTTAGAATATGTCCACATGGAAATTACAGAATTCATAAAATTTTCTTCTGTTATGCTGGTTTTAGGCCAAAAGCTTAATAAAGAAACTAACTTATAGTCATTTTAAACTTTACATTAATATAAAAAACCCACACACCACACACACACACCCCATGTAAAACATTGCTTTAAGTTTTAATGTTTATTTCCCCAAGACAGCCTAGCCTGCACTCTACTTGGATAAATTTTACAAGCTAGTTTTCTGCTGCTTCTAGTTTTAAACTTTAACCATGTTTCTGATGACAAGGAATGCTGCAAAAATACTCTAGTTCAACAAAGAGTTATGATCACAAAATAATTTTTATCCATTCTACAATGTTTCAGAATTACCAGTTGATTTTTAAACACAAAGTAGACACAGATGCGAATGGTGGCTAATCTGGTGTGTTTCTTATAGCAAACTGTTGTTCATGCGACACTTGTGCTCAAAGGGGAAGGCACAGGATTTCCTACAATGAGCCACCTTATAAAGAGTTCTTTTATTGTACAAATTAATTTATGTCACATTTAATTTAGTGTGCATAACCTCAAAACTGAGGCATTATTCCAATTTATAAAAACCACTTGCATAACCTTTATGCAAGTTTTAAAAATACAAAGTTTCTCCCTAAAGTGGCTCAAAATAGATTGTTCATGGCTGCCTACATCTAAGATAAAAAGATTCTAAAACAATTGAACAGATTAGGCATATTATTAAAGGTGTTCAAACCATTACTTGATTTGTACATCTACTCAAACCTCTTCATCTGTCTTTATTCAGCAGTACATATGCACCAAATTCCATTTTAGAAGTTTCCATATCATTTTCATAGAAAACAAAGTTTGAAAACAAGTAACATTTAAACACAGCACGGTATTCTACCACAACTGAAACTTTTTCTTCTTCTTTACAGGACTCAACAAAATCTAAAAATGAAACTATGCTGTAGATTTACCTCATGCAAAGATCTTTATGTTATCTCTGAAAATGAAAGGATGGCTTTTAAAGTACATTTTACCGTTTTATACTATTATGGCAACTTGTGTACTGCAACAGTCTATTTTGAGGGAAATTTATGATTTTTTTCCATGCAAAAATCTACACAAATTTGTTCTGATGATATGGAAAGTTTTTTCATAGCATCCAAACATTCATCTGGTGCAAATGCACAGGGAAATCTTCCTGAAAAGTTTTCTGAATTGAGAAGCAACTAAAAAGCCATACTAGGTAAAGTAAATAAAGGTTTAAAAAATAAAAGGGGTGGGTGGAGCCGAGGGATGGGAAAAAGAGGAGGGATAGAAACACAGGCTGCAGAGTAAACCAATGTCTGCTGCTGAACCGGTTCTGGTTTTCGTGTCCAGTGTACATTAACACTTATGATCTCACTTTGATGATTTACTAGTTTTATCAGCCCCCTGAAGGCAAATCAAGCTTGCATGCGTTCACATACAGAACCACAACCACTCTCTCGTACACAGTCACTCCAGGTCTAGGAGTCTGCTTCAGGAGTGAAGAGCCCTAGATTTGAAAGATGAACCTGACTCTCCATCATTGAGCCAGCCATTCACTCAACACTGCTCATTCACACACTGCTTCATAGCAAGGCCTGGGCTCACTTCCTTTGACTTAGACGGGCATCCTATTCTCTTTTATGCTTGCAAGGCTTGAAGATGACAGTACTGCACTTTCCCCTCAATTGATATAGAGTAAGTCAACGTTCCTTCTCAGGCACTGAAGATCTGTGACCCGTAGCCCTTTTTACTTTTAACAACCTAAATAAGCATTCATGTAAAGTTTTCATTACATTGTGCCACTCATTCTCACTCGCACCCACTCGCCATCTTGACCTCATTTGGGCATTTTCTGTGATTCCAAATGAAATCTTCACATTTTCTTTCCCGATTTAATGCAGCAGCAGATCCCATGAGCCAAGCTTGATGGATCAAACCTTTTTATATATATGTTTATATATATATATCTCAGTGCTGCATGGACCTAACTTCCAAAACATCTTTCTAAAACTGGAACCCTTCTGTTGGTACATTGGCAGATGAATTGAAACCAAATGTTCCTCCTTGAATTGCCTCTGGAACAAGGCTAGGATCTTCATCAATCTAGAAGGAAAGAGCAAACAGGCAGTTAGATTAAAAAGCATAAACAACATTATTGTGATATGCCTATCACAACATTTTCTACCATGCCTTTAGAAAGCTGAAATAGTTTCAGAGGGTTTTTATAAGGGAAGCAAAGTTAAAAGGGAATTTAAGAAAATAAATAAGATAACCATCTTCCAAAATAATGAAACAGGAGATGGCCCTTGTTCTCAAATCAAGAGGGAGGTACACTATGGTACTCACTAAGTTTCCCTGTACCTGGAAAGTAGATATGTCAATGACATTGCAAAAAAATTAATGCTACCCTGTTTCCTCGAAAATAAGACAGTGTCTTCTATTAATTTTTGCTCCCAAAGATGTGCTAGGTCTTATTTTCTGGGGATGTCTTATTTTTCCATGAAGAAGAATACGGTACACATTTATTGTTTATTGTTTTATTAAAAGAGACCTTGCACTTCCTGTCTGCTCCAGGCTGCACTGCAGCCAACAGTGAGATGCGGGGTGGGCGCTGCCGCTATGGTCCAGAGTTACGGTAGCTTCAGGGGGCCTTATTTTGGGGGAGGTCTTATTTTTGGGGGATGCCTTATATTTCAGCGAGGGGCAAAACTGTACATAGGTCTTAATTTTGGGGGGATGTCTTACTTTCGGGGAAATAGAGTAGCATTTTTGGAGAGTAAATAAATTTTTACCTGATGTTTTATTAACAATTGAAGACATTTGGGGGGATGTCTTACTTTCGGGGAAATAGGGTAGCATTTTTGGAGAGTAAATAAATTTTTACCTGATGTTTTATTAACAATTGAAGACAAATGGTAAAATAATAGGTTTCTTAATAATGAATAAATAGTATTCTGCATATTTCATAGCAAATGTACTTCCCTGAAATACTATGAAATCTTAAACCTATAACCACGTACACCAGCTAAACAATTCTTTCTGTAATGCTATACAGAATACATGTTGAGGTATATTAGAAACCCTATTCACAAATTAGGACTTCCAGAAATCCAACTTTGAGACATATTGTCAAAGTTATCCTTATAAGGTGTGTTTTTTCTGTATTTAATTAGTATTAGAATCTAAGCAGACTTAAGGCTAGCTGTTGGCATGTAAATAACATACGGTCATATAATAATGTTAATTTTCTTTTTAAAATTCATGTAATAATTTTTTTAAATTGTGGCAAAAATATACAGAAGACATTCTCCAAGTCTACAACTTCTAAAAGTCTAACTCAGTACCACTGATTATACGCTTTGTATTGTACAATGATTATTGATATCCTTTTCCAAATTATTCTACTTCTATTATCACAAACTCAATGCCCTTTAAGCAAAAACTCTACCTCTTTCATCCATGGTAACCATTGGCCAAGTTTAGTTTAATTCCTTTCTTTCTTAAGTAGTTTTCTTAATATCCACATCATACACTTCCAGTTAAAAAAATTTTTTAAAGCGTTGTATATTCATCTTCAAAATAAGTTCTAAGGCTCCCTGGGCCCCTCCTGCAATCAGGTTGCTCCCCAATTCCCCTCATCTTCATATGCCCCCATTCCTGATAAACTATTGCATTAGTTATATCTCTATGTATCCACATCATTTTAAGTTTCTAAATGATTTAATTCCCCCAAATGGTAATACCACAAATAAATTATGCTATCCTTTAACTACTATATACTGGTAATCCAAAAAATATTTCCATGTACTATCTTACATTGTCCTCTGCCATTTTTGTTTGTGATGAGCATGTATGTAACAAAAATTGCCATTTTAATGGATTTATATTTTTAGGGTTATTCATTCTTTTCATTTGGTCTATTTTTGGCAACTACATAAAATATAAAAAAATAGTGACATATTCAAATATAATTGAACTAATTTTTCACAAAAAACTTGTTATAGGGCATAATGGAATCAATGTATATTATGTCATAATAAGTATATTATGTCAGTAACAAAAATATGAAAATAAGATATGAGGTAAAAATAAAGTTTGATTTTGTAAAAAAAAAAATCCTTTTCATTTTACTGTTAGTACTACTTTATACTGCCCTGAAGAGATTTCAAAATATTGAAATATAAATTTCTGACAGTGACTTTGTCATAAAATTATTTTAATTTCATTAAAAATAATGTACACTATACTATCTTACATTAAATTATTTCACTCACACATGTTTTATAAAATTAACACTATAAAATTATTAAATACATCATCTGAGGAGAAGAACTGATCAATGATCTCATAAGCCAATTTGTAGATGTCTTCATTTTCATGATTTTGAAGTTGTTCAATTTTCTCCAGTCCTGTAAGAGATTTTATGACGTGAAACAATGGTAGTACTTGAAAAGTAACCACAACAATACTACAATAATCTTGTGATCATATAATCCAATCCTGGGAAATATATTCCAAAGGTGAATTTTAAAATATAAAACCATCATATGAAAAGATATGCTATTTAAAAATATCAACAATCTTAGTATCTAACACCACTTAAATGTTACAGTAAACAAT